CGCTCAGTGCGGAGTCTGCTTAAGATGCTCTCTCTCTATCTCTGTCCCTCCCTCCTGTGCTCTCCCTCTCAAATCAACCAATCTTTTTAAAAAATACGCAAAGGATCCGAGGAGACCTTTCTCTAAGAAAAATATACAAGTAGCCAATAAGATAAGCTCATAAAGCTCATATACAAGATAAGCTCATAAAGCACCTAAAAAGATGCTCAATGTCAGCCATCAGGGAAATGCAAATCGAAACCATGAGACGCTATTTTCCATCCACTTGGGAAGATAACCTGTGTTGACAAGGATGTGGAGAAGTTGGCACCCTCATGCACCACTTACTGGTGGAATGTAAAATGGTGCAGATGCTGGGAAAAACAGTCTGGCAGTTCCTTAAGTGGTTAAACATAGCTACCCTATGACCCAGCAATTCCACTTCTAGGTACGCCCCCCCCCCCCCAGGACAAAACAAACGTCCACACAAACCACTGGTACACAAATAAATGTTCATGACAGTGTTATTCGAGATAGCCAACAGATGGAACCAACCCAAATAGCCATCAGTTGTTGAATGAATAACTAAATGTGATATATCCACACAGTGACGTGCTACCCAGCAAGAAAACAAAGCGCTGACATGCTACAACATGGATGAACCTTGAATTCTTTTTTTTTTTTTAAGATTTATTTATTTGAGAGAGTGAGAATGAGAGAGAGAGAGCACATGAGAGCGGGGAGGGTCAGAGGGAGAAGCAGACTCCCCGCCGAGCAGGGAGCCCGATGTGGGACTCGATCCCGGGACTCCGGGATCATGACCTGAGCCGAAGGCAGTCGCTTAACCAACTGAGCCACCCAGGCGCCCCTGGATGAACCTTGAAAAGATCGTGCTAAGTGAAGGAAGCCCGATACAGAAGACCACATATTGGGGAACCTGGGTGACACAGTCGGTTAAGCATCTGACTCTCGGTTTTGGCTCAGGTCTGATCTCGGGGTCGTGAGAGTGAGCCCCGGATTGGGCTCACTGAGGATGGCGTCTACTTAAGACTCTCCCTCTCCCCCACCTCTCTCAAATAAGTAAGTCTTGGGGCGCCTGGGTGGCTCAGTTGTTAAGCGTCTGCCTTCGGCTCAGGTCATGATCCCAGGGTGCTGGGATCAGGCCCCGCTTTGGGCTCCCTGCTTGGCAGGAAGCCTGCTTCTCCCTCTCCCCCTGGTTGTGTTCCCTCTCTCGCTGTATCTCTCTCTGTCAAATAAATAAAATCTTTAAAAAAAATCTTAAAAAAAAATAGGACCACATATTGTATACTTTCATTTATATGCCCAGATGGGCAAATCTGTACACTGAGAAAGGAGACCAGTGGTACCTAGGGCTGGGGAGGTGGGGGGATTGGGGAGCGATAGCCAGAGGACACAGGTCTTCCTGTTGGGGTGATGAAAATGTTCGAAAATTGATTGTAGTGATGGTGGTACAACTCCATGAAAATACTAAAAAACACTGAATTGTGGGTGCCTGGATGGCTCAGTTGGTTAAGCGACTGCCTTCGGCTCAGGTCATGATCCTGGAGTCCCGGGATCGAGTCCCGCATCGGGCTCCCTGCTCAGCGGGAAGCCTGCTTCTCCCTCTGACCTTCTTCCCTCTCGTGCTCTCTCTCTCTACCATTCTCGCTCTCAATAAATAAATAAAAATCTTTATTAAAAAAATAAAAAACACTGAATTGTATACTTGTGCAGGTTGTATTTTATCTGAAATATATATATATATATTTTTTTCAAATTTTAAGTTATCTCTACACCCAACATGGGGCTCGAACTCCTGACCTCGAGATCAAGAGTCGCATGCTCCAATGACTGAGCCAGCTAGGCGCCCTTTTTTAAAATCCTATTTTAACGAATAGTTACAGAACCACCACCACCACCAAAACAAAACAAAGCAAAACAAAATCCCAAGCTCAGCCCTGACCCTCAGATCTTAGGCAAATCTAAGTAGTTTCTTCAACTGTAAAATGGGGGAAATTGGACTTCAAGGTCAGGAAGAGTCTCCCAGTCATCTAGATCAAGGGCCCAGTCCTGGCTCAGTGGCTGACCCGCTATGTGCCCTGGGACCACTGGCTTCCTTTTCTGGAAGGAAAGGAAGAGCCTTTGGAAAGAGCCTGGGTTTTTGAATCAGGCAGTTCTGGGTTGAATCCGAGCTCTGTCACTTCCTAACTGTAGGACTGGTGGCAAGTCCCATCCCCGCCTGAGCCTCAGCTCCCTCCTCTGGGAAGTAGAATCTCGGCTGCTCAACAGGGTGGAGAAGAGAGGAAGGAAAGCATAGGGCGTGGACCCAGGGACTTCATAACCCCCCACCCCCGCAGCTGCGGAGGCGGCTAGAGTTTAGACATGTGGCAGTCAGTCCCACCAGTATCTACCAAGCACCCATGTACTGTGTAGCCCCTGCACCAAGCTCTGGGATCCCCATGGGCTTCTTGGCAGGGCCAGGGGTGCTCAAACTGAGAGGGCTGTTAGTCAATGTTCAGTTCAGCATCAGTGGGTCCCCGCGTTACCCTCCCCCACTCACTGAGCTCTGCACCTGGACAGCTTTGCCGTGTTGCATTCTAAGGACGCAGTTGCAGCTCAGGTCAGAGTGGACTGGGCCTGGCCGTGTTGAGCATCGATGCCGTGCCCCAACCTTGGCTCTTCTCTCACCCTCAACCACCCTGGGATTTGGCAGATCATTCTTCCAGAAAGGGGTTAACTGAGGCTAATGGCTGAAGGGTCCAGGTTTGAATCCAGGCTCTGTATTTGCATTTGCAACCCTCTCCTCCCCAGAAGTCCCCACCACGCGCTGGTCCCATCAGGAGCCACCGACAGGGTAGGGGAGGTGGTCCGCAGGCTGGGTCCTTCCATACCCGCTCACCCAATCTCTAACCACAACCCTGGGATGCGTGGGGTGGGGGGCTTTGTTTTTCACAGAAAAGCAAACTGAGGCACTGAGGTCCGTTCTTTGTCTCAGGCTCCCGTCCAGGTTTCTCAGGTGCCAGAGCCTGATCAATGACCCACGGACCTTATCAGGGCTCCTGAGCACCCTCTACGTCCTGGGCCTTGTATGGGCTCAGGGGATGCCTGCAGCCCACCCACTGGACTCCATGAGACCCCACTGCTCACCTCACCTTGACTGTCCAGGACGCTGGGAGGTCATCACTGCCCCACTTCACATGTTGGGGAGCAGGCTCGGAGACCTGGCCAGACCCACGCAGTGCTGAGGTTGGGGTGCTGGTTTGGGTCCTGAGCCTTTCCAATGCAGGCCTCTGCCTCATCAATCCCCCCACCTCAGCCCTGTGAGGCGGAAATGGCCGTGTCCCCTTCACAGAGTTGATGGGGGCCTTCACCTCCAGAGGGCCCTGTCTGCATCCAACATGGCCCAGCTCACAGAGGGTGGATGGGACATGGCTTCAAGGCCTCCCCCGCCCCCCGCCCCGCCCCTGCGAAGGCAGGAGGGAAAAGGATCCAGAGTCTCAAGTCCTCCCCCTGACCTGCCAGAGCAGCTTAATGTTTCCATATAAAGGAGACACGGGGCTTAAGGTGTATCAACTTGGTGTCAAAGTCACTGTCTAATCTGAGGCCAAGAAGCTCCACCCCCAGGCCCCAACCTCCCTCCCCCTCAAAAAGGAGCACTTTCACGCTTCCGGAGACCCTGGGTGTCACCCCCGCCCCTGCTTTTCCCCCACCTACCAACAGGGTCTGGACAGCAGGTTGAAGGGCAGAGATCGACAGAGCGGGGGGCTAGGGTGTGAGGGGACAGAGGCTCAGAGTGCACAGGAAGGGTTCTGAGATGGGGAACCTAGAGAGAGGGAAAGACCCCGCGCGGGGTACAGGGACCCAGAGGGAGGCGAACAGAGACCAGGTGGTGGTGGGACGCATAGAGACTGGGGGCGGGGGTGTCAGAGACCTAGAGAGAGGGGACAGAGACACAGTGGGAGTGGACAGAGGGCGGGAGGGGACAGGAGAGACAGGCCGACTAGGAAAAGTTGGGAAGGGGAGATGATGTGTCAGGAAACGGGACAGGGAGCTGGAGTTGTGGCCAGAGACGGGAGAGAGAGGCTCGCGATGACAGGGACAAGGGGGCAGAAGGCAGATGGAGACGGGGTCAGAGACGGAGTCACCCAAACAGGGGGACAGGTTGTTCAGGGGCTGGACTTGGTCACCGAGGCTGAGGACCTTCCTGGGGGGGGGGGGGGGGGAACAGTGAGGCTGGGGAACGTGGGGCAGAGGAGCCCAAGCAAGGAGGGTGCAGGGTAGGGGGGTGGGGGGAGGTGGCACAGTTTCAGCCCAGGAGCGCCCCCCCCCACCCGGGGTCTCTGTATGGAGGCACATACCTGGTGGGGCAGCCCACCCCCATGCCCTCCGCTGGGGGATCCTCTGCTAGGGCCACGGGGAGGCCTCTGTGGGTGCTGAGGGGCAGTGATGCGTCCTGGGCCCCGGGGGCCTTGTGCCGGGCGCCCGACCTCTGTGTCCACAGGCGGATCAGAGGCCTGGCCGAGGGGGGGCAGGGGGCGGGGCCAGCTCCGAGCCGCAGCGGGGGAGCCAGGGAGGACGGCCAGGCAGGGCGGCTGGGCCGCAGCCCAAGCAGGCTGGGGAGGAGATGCGGTGGCAGACACCGAAGGGGGAGGGGGCAGGGAGACACGGGAAGGTGGGGACACCGATGAGGAAACAAAGAGATAAAGGGACAGAGGTGGAAGGACAGAGAAATGGGGGGAGCGTCCCTGGTTCCTTCTGAGATGAAGCCTTAAAAAGTCGGGGGACACGGGTGAGCTAACCCCTCCGGAGACCGGGACTGAGTTCCACATGGAATAAAATTGGGGGCAGGTGGGTCTGAACAGCACCTGATGGGGGCGGAGAGAACACACGAAGCAGGGATTCCCAGTGGCCTCTCCCAGCTCGGTGGCCTCGGAACGGCCGGGGTGGGGGCCCGGGTCCCGCGTCCTCCTCCCGTTTCTTCACAGGGAAGCGGCCAGCAGATGAGTCCCACACACATCAGGCCTCCTTCTGGTTCTTTACTGCCTCACGAGCCCCGGACCTTCCTACCTGCACAGCACCTGCCCTGGATGCAGGACGGAGGGGAGGAAGACCCCCGCAGCCCCCCAGAGGGGAGTCCAGGCCAAACCCTGCTCGGCAGCAAGACAGAGGGCAAAACCAGATTGTGCTGGAGGAGCCCACCCCTCAACTGCGGCCCACCCACTGTAAAGTGCTCGAGTTCCCTGGGCGGGGGGCGGGGCGGGGCGACCAGAGGCCACCACTGGGTCCTGGGATGGAGAGGTCAGAGGGTCAAGCCAGGTGCCAGAGCGCACAAAACATCCACAGTGACACCGGCCACACCAGGCCCACCTGGGAAACAGGCCAGCAGGTCCTCAAACACGTGGGGGGAGGGCGGGCAGCCAGGGCCAAACCAGGTCTTTCCGCGGGAGGGGTCCCCGGCGCCAATCGGAGCCCTGTGTTTGGAGGGCTCCCTGGACTGAACCAAGTAGCTCTACAGTCATGGGTCAAACCAGATCGGTTTGGCAAGAGGGGTCGTGGGACCAAATCAAGTCCTTTCAAAGAACAAAATGTCAAACATTCCATCACGGCGGCTGAAGGGCCAAGTCCTTCTATCGGAGGAGGGCTGGTCAGCTGACCTGAAGGAGTCCCTCCCGGCGGAACCAACGCCAACCTCGGTGGCTGTGGGAAAGGCCAGGCGGGGCTGGTCAGACGCTGATGGTGCGAAAGACGGTGAAGCCCGACAGGGCGGTGCTGACGAGGAGCCCGGGGCACTGTGGATGCCAGTGCAGCTCCTTCAGGTCTGTCTCGCCCTGGTGCACAAACAGGAGCTGCTGGGGGAGGTCCGCCAGCCCGGGGTCGGCGGTCTCTGCGTCGCCTGCCTCGGGGTCGCGCTCCACGGCCAGGTCCCACTGTGTGATCTGGTTGTCCGCACCCGAGGCCGCGAAGACCCCGCTATCCTGGGGATGCCACTCGACCGAGGTCACGGGGGCCACGTGCTGCTTGAAGGTGGCCACCGGGGAGCCAGACTACGGGAAGAAGGGAGTCCGGGGCTCTGAGCACCTCAGCCTGAGTCCCTGAGGTGACCCAAGCCGAGCCCTCGCCACTCTCCGGCCGTTGGGTTCCACCAGGGCGCCACCCCTGAGGCCCCCACAGGCCCATGTTCTCTGAAGGGGACAGACAGCCAGGTACAACTGGTGATATGGGGCCTAACGTCCTAGGGCGTGCTGGGAACCGTGTGGTTTCACCTGCAAAGAAGCCCCTTCCGGCTCCAGGTCACAAAATCCCCACCGCTGGTCCTCCCCGGGCATGCCTCAGTTTCCCTTCCTATAAAAAGGGGTGGTTCTCGGGGCCCCAGGGTGGCTCAGCTGGCTGAGCGCCGACTCTTGGTTTCAGCTCAGGTCATCATCTCAGGGTCCTGAGATGGAGCCCCACATCGGGCTCCACACTTAGCTGAGAGTCTGCTGTCCCTCCCTCTTCTGCCCCTCTCCCCACTCGTGCGTGTGCTCTCTCTAAATAAATAAATCTTTAAAAAAGGAGGGGGGGGTAGTTCTCAAACCTGCTGATTCTATGAAGGCCTTAAAGAGGGCAGAAGCACAGCTCCCAGGCTCCAGGGACAGCCGAGGAAAAGAAAAACGGCACTTTTACTAAAGCAAAGGTGCTACTGGGGACCGGAGCGAAGTCTCTCTGAATTGGAGACGTGGGTCCAAAGTTCCAGTGGCCAATCAACTTGGCCATGGATGCTGCCCATACGCCTGCCTTGGGCGCTGGACCCGTTTCTAGCAGTTTCCTCAGGCTGACGCCACAGAACTCATCATACCAGAGAGAAGAAAAGATTACATCGTGGGGGGCCCGGGAAGGCACAGAGCCGTATTTAACGGGGGCTTCGGCCAGAGGGATGCCAGAGTTGCAATTCCTCCTGCCCAGAGCCCCTCTTGGCTCTACGAAGTCAATTCTTGGCTGCGTGGTGACGTCACCTCTGCTCCTGTCCTGTCTGTACCTGTTTCCTCTCCTGTAATGAACGGCGTGGCTCCGATTCTCAGCTGATTCTACAAAGTTCGCTAACAAAGAGTCTGCAAGCCTGAGGTGCCTGAAGCCTCGGGCTGCAAAGCCGGCTGCCCGGCTCGCCAGCGGGTAGATGGGAGTTGGGAGTCAAGGCTGCCACTCAGCCTCTTGTCTCCTGTCCCCTCTCCAGCTGGGGGAGCGAGCAACCCTACACCAGTCACAGCCTTCCTTCCGCTGAGCCCGCTTCCTCATCTGCCCCCCAAAAGGGCTGGACCCCAACTCGACAGGCCTTCCCAGTTCTGGTACAGACAAGCACGTAAGGAGGGAAACCTGCAAATCGTAGCGGCTGCTGGGAGCAGGCATTCCCCGGGCTAGGGCAAAGTCCAGCTGGGGCAATACCTTGAACTGCCGCAGGTCCCAGATCTTGAGGGCCCCGTCGTCCCCGCCGCTGAGCAGGAAGGGTTCCTGGCGGCTCCAGCTGATCACGTTGACATCCCCGTCGTGGGCGGCGGCGGTGGTGAGCATGCAGGCCTTGCTGGGGGCAGCCCGAATGTCCCAGATGCGAATGGAGGCATCAGCTGAGCAGGAGGCGAACACCTGGACAAAGCAGAGTCTGAGTGACCCCGGGGTGCCTGCCACCTCACCCTGGAGACCAGGGATGAGTGGTGGGCTACCCTCTTTTTCAGTGTCCCCCTCACTGGGACCTAGCCCCAGGCCCCTCCTCTCCCAAGACCCTGGAGTCCAGACCCCCAGCCCTCCCTCACTGTGTCCTCAGTTGGGGACCACTGCAGGTCCTCCACAGAGCGTGTGTGGCCCACAAATGGCCGCTGGTCCACGTGCCAGGAGCCGCCGTCCGTGGGCGTCCAGAGGTGGATGTTCTTCTGACAGTCACCAGTCAGCAGGCGCCCTAGAACCAGGAGTCAGGAAACCGCCTGGGCGCGGCTGGCCACAGCTCCCTCTTCTCCCTGTACTCTTAGCCCCCGCCTCTTCCTACAGACCCCGCTCCCTCTCACCCCCAGGACCAAGTGTGCACCCCAGGGACTCACCAGACACCCGGGGGGACCAGTCCAGTGCAAAGCCCTCGCCCATGTGGCCCGCGAAGGCGAAGATGGGCTTCACACGGGCCTGCTCGTCCCGGAGGAAGGTCGCCAAGGCCTGGGGGTCATCCACCACCTGCAGAAGCCGCCGTAGTGCAAACACCTCCACCTGGCCCTTCTCTGACCATATACCAGCCACCGGCTCCTCGCCCAGCCATGACACCTGCAGGGGCAGGGAGAAGGGAAAGGGAGGTGGGAGGGACAGGAGGCTCAGGGTGGTGACCACAGCTCCCAGCATCCGTGAGAACCAGAACTGCAGCTCCTCAGAACGCCCATCGCCCCGGGCGCCTGGGTGGCTTGGTTGGTTGGGCGACTGCCTTCGGCTCAGGTCATGATCCGGGAGTCCCGGGATCGAGTCCCGCATCGGGCTCCCTGCTCGGCGGGGAGTCTGCTTCTCCCTCTGACCCTCTTCCCTCTCGTGCTATCTCTCGTTCTCTCTCTCAAATAAATTAATAAAATCTTTAAAAAAAAAAAAAAAAGAACTCCCATCGCCCCAAGGCTGGGACTCCGGCTCCCAGCAGCCTTTGTGGGGACAGAATCACAGCCTGTAAGACCAGCATGGTACCTGGGACAACCTCCCACATTGTGTAGGGGCAGCGATGTGAGTTGGAAAATGCCTTCCAGGCTCCCAGGAATGGAGGCTGTTAACTCCACCAACCCTCGGAAGGGGGTTCAGACTACCAGTCTCTGCAACCCTCTAACGTCTGCTTGCTAGGAGATCCCATTCAACCTCAAGAGCTTCCAGCAGCCCCTAGACCTGACCTCTCTCAACTCCAGACTCCTATCACACCGACTGTTCGAACATCATCGAAGCCAAGTTCCTAACTGCCATCAGCAACCACCTCCTTTCTGGGGCTCCCCGCCTGGGGACTCATTGACTTGTCTCTTCCTCCTCACACCGCGTGCTAGCTACACTCAAAATGCACCACTTCCGACCCCTCACCACCTCTGTCACCACTCCTGCTACCCCTGTCATCCTTACCCTTGAATTATGGCCTCCCCACAGGACTGTCCTTTCCCTTGCCTCCCTGCAGTCTATTCTCGATACAGCAGTCAGAGGGAATCTCTTTTTTTTTTTTATTTTTTTAAAGATTTTTATCTATTTATTTGACAGAGACAGACACAGCGAGAGCAGGAACGCAAGCAGGGGAAGCGGGAGAGGGAGAAGCAGGCTTCCCGCCGAGCAGGGAACCCGATGCGGGGCTCGATCCCAGGACCCTGGGACCATGACCTGAGCCGAAGGCAGACGCTCAACGACTGAGCCACCCGGGCGCCCAGAGGGAATCTCTTTAAAACACAAGTCAGGTCATGATCTCAGGGTGTTGGGATCAAGCCCCACACTGGACTCCGAGCTAGGCATGGAGCCTGCTTAAGATTCTCTCTCTCCCTCCCTCAAAAACAAACAAAAAAAACAACAAAAAAACAAACCCCCCTAAGTCAGATCCCATTTGTCCTCTGCTCTAAACACTCCAAGGGCTCACAATCTCTCCCCAAGTAAAAGCCAAGTCCTTAAATAGGCCTACAAGCCCCACACAACCCATCACCCCCCCCCCCCCCGCAAATGCTGTCACTCTCCCCTTCTTCCGTTTGCTCTAGTAGATGCATTGGTCTCCCTGCCTTCCCCTGAACTTCCTCAAACATGCCACATTTGTCCCAGGGCCTTTACACTTGTGTTTCCTCTGCCTATAAACCCCTTCCCGACAGAAATCTTTGGCTCATTCCCTTACTTCCTGTGGGTCTCTGTTCAAATGGCATCTTATCATAAATACTTCCCTGACAGCACTATTACAATAGCAAATTCACTCTAGGAACATCCAAATTCCCTTCCCTTACTTTTACTCTTCTCCACAACATTTGGCACCTCTGGATGCAGTTACTTAGTTTCTGCTTGTTCCCTTCCCTGCTACCATGTAAGTTTCACAAAAGCAGAGACCTTTTGCTCTCTGTTAAATCTCCAGGGCACAGAACAGTGCACGAAACATCGTAACTCTTGTCTACTGCCATACCACCCTACATGCGCCTGATCTCGTCTGATGAAAAATGGTAACCCTTGAACGGGAACACACAGCAAGGACCGTGGGCCAAGCACTGCCCCGAGTGCTGCTCATGCCTCGTTTCATTTAATTCACACATCAGCCTGCTCCGAAAGGGCTATAAGTCAGCAGCACAAAAGTGACCCCACAGCCCAGGACAGGTCTTGAGCAATAACAGAAAACACACATCTGTACACTAGAACCAGGTGCTGTCTCTAGAAACCCGAAATAACTGTGGGTTATTCCATTTCACCCTTCCGTCACCTCATCAGGCAAGTTTTGCAATTTTCACCGCTGTACTGAAGAGGAAAGAACGTAAAAAACAACCCTCTTATTTCTCCTAGCACACGGTGACAATGACGATACCTAAGACGTCTGTAAACTAATATATCAAAATTACGTGCCAGCACTTTTCTAAAAGCTGAAAGGCACGGACGAGGGGGTTAGGGGAGGCGGTCAGAGAATGTAGAGAAGGCTCCTGGGACTGTATCTACCCGGACTCGGTTGATGCCGCCATAGTGGGGCACCATAGCGAGCTCCAGCTGAGGCTTCCGCTCTTCTTCATCGTCTTCATCTTCCTCCTCCTCCTCATCGCTGCCCTCCGATGGCGGGGACTTTGTCCCATGCAGATTATGCATCCGAAGCATCATCAGTCTGGGGGAAAGTGTGGGGTGAGTGAGGCACTGGATGCCAGGATCCTTAAGAGGGAGGGAGGGGAGAAGCTGGAAACCCCGACTTCTAGGTCCTGGGGGAGGGGGAGCTGGGGGCTCAGGCTCCTGGTCCTGGATAAAACCTCAGGTCTCACTCACCTGTTGCTCTGGGCACTCTCCGCCTGGGTCCCAGCACACAGGTAAAGTGTAAGAGGAAGCTCTGTCCGGCTGTCTCCCAGGTGATCCCGGACTATGTCGAAGCTAAGACAGGGGGCTCCTGGGGAGAGAAGAAGGGGTTGGCAAATTAGGATGGGACAGAGATCTCAGCCGCCTCGCGCGTGACGTTTTCACCCGTCTTACAACACAGCCTTGTCTCTGAGTGCCTCGTAAGTTAAAGACTCAGGACCAGCCTCGCTCAGGACTCAGGATTCCGGTCCCCTCCTAACTCAGGAGCCAGGAGCCCGGTGCTCAGCCATACCAGTCTGCGCTCGGTGGTACAGCACGTAGGCCTCCTCGTCCATGACCATTTCCTCTCCTTCGCGCAGCGGCGGTCCGCGGCCGGGCAGGTAGACCTGGGCCGGGCCTTCGGTCCCTGCGTCGCTGGACTCGGCCTCCCTGGGTTCCCCGGTTTCACACGTGCGCCGCCTACCCTTGCGCGCCGCCATCTTCGAACCCTCTCACCGCGGGCGCGAGGTAAGGACGTCACTTCCGGGTTGCGTTTTCCTCCTTCGGAGATCCGCCCGACCACACGGTTGCCTTGGAAACCTCCCCAGCTCACCAATTTGAGAGGGCGGTGGCGAGAGGGTGAAGGAGAGCTAAGGTAACGGCGTCCCCGCCTAGCGACCGAGGCCTGCGGATTCGGAGACTCTACACCCTTCGCGTGACTTTGCGGCGCTTTTCTGCAGAGCAGCGGCAAGGCCTCCTGGGAGTTGTAGTTCTGTACCAGGCCAGTTTTCTCCTTCTACTGGAGGAGTTCCGAGCTCCGACTCCATCTTCCACTTTTGACTCTCATTGCTTCCTTTCCGCTACATTATTCATTTATGCAAATAAGAGTTCTTACTGGCAAGTAGACTGGGTTTTTGCTCCCCGAGGACCCATAAAGCCCGTTTCCTTTCCCCTCCTTGTTATGATGGCTTTAATTCACTTCAAAATGCTTTAGTGTAGACAGGATGATATATGTAAGTTGGTCGGTTGAATCTACCCTCTTGGGGCAGTCAGCTGCCTAACCAGGCGTTCACATTGCAGCTGTGGTCAGCGAGCACTTAATCGGAAAGTCAGCCCTCTGGAGACCACTATTAGAAGTGCTTCGGCTCTCTTTATCGCTCATCAGCACCAGAGGTTTGGCTAATTGCCATAATGAAATGCTAGAGATAGATTTTCATTGGTGAGATTAACGGCATTCAAGGTAGGTGGATTGGCTAGGATATACTAGACTCTCCCCTCGCTTGCATGAACAGGATATGAAGAATCTAGCAAGCTGCGTAGCTTGCAGCCATAGGAATGGGACCCTAGACTTAATCCTGAAATGTTTTGATCCTGGATCTTTGTTGAGTTCGCTGTTCCTCCTTCTCTCTAGGTCTCTGTCCGCCCTCATCCCTTCTCATTCCTTTTCAGGATCTTTTCTCACAGCTTCCTTCTGGGTCTTTGTCTCCCCACCTCCCTCCAGGGTCAGTGTTCTCAAAATAATTTTCTTTCTGCCCTCTCTTCCTCTGTGGGACTTTTCTCAGTTTCTGTTTCCTCCAGAGAAGTTTGAGGGCGGCTGAGAGAAACATGGAGCTCACACTTGGACTGAGGAGGCATAAAAACATGGTTTATTCCAAACACTGCAATGTGTAACAGGAGAGTGGGAGGGGAGGTTGGTGGTGGGTGTGGATTCCCAGACCGTCCCCTCCACACCCCAGCTCCAGACCCGGCTGGAGATCTAGGAAGAGGAGGCTTTTGGGGGGGTCTGCAGGGTCATCATGGGAGGGTCACAAATAAGGGCTGGATTTGGTGAGACTGTGGTTGGTGGCACGTGGGGCAGGTAGTGAGGTGCGACAGGGTGGGAAGTTTTGGCCCGATGTTGGTTGGGATCCACGCTAGGGCAGGGGGAGGCGGGGCTTCCGTTGGGAGTGTCCTAGGTCAAAATAAGGAAAAGCGACCGAGGATGGAAAAGGAGGAGGGTGTGTCAAGGTTTGACGTGAAGGGTCACAGTCTGGTCGGGGTGCAGTCTGGGATGCGGGTCACAGTTTGGGGTCGGGGGTCACAGTCTGGGGTCGGATGACCATTTTTAGGGGTCGGAAGTCACAGTCTGGGGTCAGGGGTTTCTGTGTGGCGGGGCCAAGGTCTGGAGTCACAGTTTGGCGAACGCGTCTCACAGTTTTGAGTCCCGATGGATGAAAGGTTAAAAACGGGCTTCCCCGGAGGCGTGGCTGGGGCCGGGGAGCTGCACAGTGATGAGGGGGCCACGGCCCCGGGCGTGGGGGTGGAACGCGGGCGTGGCGTGACCCCCCACCTCCCGCCCCATCTGGTGACGTTAAAAAGCCCTTGTCGGGTTTAAAAAAAAAACCAAAAACTCCAGTGGGCTCCGAGACCCCCACCTTTCAGGCTGGGTGAGATTTGGGGCGGCTCGTAGTGCCCCCAAAGCGAGGGGGCGCACGACGCTGCTCCAGGCGGGGTCCGGCCAGGTCCATTTTCTCCTTCCCAACCCACGCGGGTCCTGTTCATTGCGCGTGCCCCCCCTCGGGCCGTGGCCTGCGCTGACCGAGGGGGCGCTGGGGCCCCCGGGGCCGCGTCATACCTCGGACTCGAGGCTGGAGAAGTGCGCCGAGCCCCTGCGGGTACCCAGGTCCCCGCCCCGGTGTCTCCGGTGGGGCGCGGCGGGCAGCGGCGGCCCCCAGTGCGCGGCGTGCGGGCACCGGCGCGCGTGGCGGGAGGGCCCGGTGAGCCTGCGCGCGGGGGCGGCGCGGGGGCACGAGCTGAGGTCCTCGAGCGAGCGCGAGGTGGGCGCTGGCGGCGGGAGGTCCCAGCCCCCCGCGGCGCGCCGGTGCCGGTGGTGGTGCGGGGCGGCGGCGGCGGGCGCGCGGTGCGAGGCCCGTGGGCGGTGAGGGTGCGGCCGCGGACACCCGCAGCGGGCTCGGCGCCGGGGCGGGGGTCCGGCGGCCCAGGGCGGGGGCGGCGGCGCCCACCAGCCACCGTCCAGGCCGTCGTGCGAGCAGCTGAGATGGCGCGGCGGCGGCAGCAGCTCCAGGCTGGCGCAGTGGCGACAATGCCAGGCGGCGGGACCGCTACGCGGGGGCAGGTAGTCCCAGCTGCCGGCGCGCCAGCCCCCGAGCTTGTCGACCGACCAGTAGCGGCCGGGCGGCGGCCCGAGGCGCTCAGCGTACGGATAGGGGAAGTCGGCAAACCACCAGGGCTCCAGGCCGCCCAGCGACGCGCCGCCCAGGCTCTCCGAGTCCTCCGAGTCCGACGGCGACGGCTCGAGGTCCAGGTAGGGGCAGGGGGGCGGCGCGGCGCGACACGGGGGAGGCGCGGCCTGGGCCCCGCCGGCCGCGCCCCCCGCGCCCCCCGCGCCGCCCGCGCCGGGCCCCAGCAGGGGCTGGCTCTCGGGGTCGGAGCGCGGCCAGCGCGCGGGCGCCGGCGGGCTCTCGTCCTCGAAGGCCAGGCGGCAGAGCGGCGGCCCGACGGCGGTGGCAGCGGCGGCTGGGGGCGCGGGCGGCGACGGGAAGCCGGGGAAGGCGCCGGAGGGGGGCTCGGCCGGCTCCTTGTCGCGCACGATGGCGAAGTAGGAGGGCGGCGGCTTCTGCGGGGGCTGCGCGGCCGGCGGGGACAGCGGGCGCCCGGCCGCGCCCCGGGGCGCCGCGCGCGCCTCGCCCACGCCCAGGCCCTGCGGCTCGATGGGGCCGTAGTAGCGGTGGAAGCCGTCGGCCAGGCCCGCGCCCCCCGGGGGCCCTGCACCTTTGGTGCGACGCCAGCGGTCCACCGCTCCGCGCTCGCGGGGCACGAAAGGCGCGGGGCCGGGCGCGGGCCGCGCCGCCGGGTACGCGGGACTGGGCAGCGGCTGCGGCGGCGGCGGGGGCTTGGCCGGCGGCGGCGGAGCGGCCTCGGCGCTGCAGCAGCTGTACATGCCCTGCGGGGGGCCGCGAGAGGAGCAGGGTCAGCACGGGATGCGGGAGACCGCCTGCCTTCCCTCCGTCCCTCCCACCTCTTCCGCACCCCGACCCAGGTCTCTTCCACTTGTAGGCATCCCCGCCTGGCTCCCCGGCCCCCCCCCCCCCGCCCCGCTCTGCCCTCCTGCCTCCCTCTCTCCCCTCCTGCCTCCCTCTCTCCCCCCTACCCTGGAGAAAGCCAGCAGGAAGTCCATGCGGTGGGTGGGCCCCAGGCAATGACGCAGGCGCCAGTACACCAGGTGCTCCCAGGCGAAGACCAGCAGGGAGAGGCCCATGGCCACCAGGAGCATGTAGAAGACACCTGCCATGTTGTCGATGTCCAGCTTACTGCTCATCACCTCGATTTTGTCATTGTGGCAGATCCCGGAGAGCCACAGCCGCTCCAGCATCTCGATCTCATCTGGAGAAAGGGGGGCGGGGGGGGGGTGCTGTCATAGGTCACCTTCCATGGGTACCGTCTCATAGGAGTCTAGGCGCGCAGACCCCTCTTCCCTCAGACCCTGGTGTCCTGATCCTCATCCCTTCCTTTGCCCAGGACCCAGGGCTCTAGTCCCTCACGCCCCACCCGGGAGGCATCCCTGTGTGCAGCGCACCATCCCCCAGGAACTGCAGCAGCGCCAGGTCGATGGGCCGCTTCCACCGGGAGCCCTTGTGCAGGGCGATGCCATAGCCCGTTGTGGCAAAGACCTTGCCCGAGCCGATGGTGACGAGCTTGCAGCCCTCATCCTTGCGGGCCATGTAGTTGAGCACAGCCGCATCATAGATGAAGGCGTCCAGCTTCCTGGGGGCCAGGGGGCATGAAAGGCAGGGTCAGTCCCACCCAGATGCCCTCATGGCCCAGCCCAGAACCCCCCTCACCCCTGACCTCCAACTGCTCCAAATCCTGACCAGTGGTAAACTCTTGAGCAAGTCACCGTACTTATTCTTGGTGCCTCGGTTTCGGTTTGTAAAGCGGGGATAACAACAGCACCTCCCTTCCTGGTCATTCCAAAGGGAAGATGGCGCTTGGTGCCAGGAAAGTGCTGGAGACATGTTAGCTGTGACTGATAACGTTCAGCCTTCACAGAAGCCCTCCCCAGAAGGTTCTGCATACTCCCCCATTTTATAGGGGAGAACTGAGGCCCAGAAAGGGGACTCATACACAGAGTCATAATGCTAACGATCACTTCTATTGTGCTAGGCACTGTTCCAGCCACCGTCATAACTCATTCAATCCTCTCAACGTTCCTGTGAGGTAGAAACAGTTAATCTCCATCATTCAGATGGGAAATGCAGGCCCAGACACGCATCTTCCTCTGCTTGGGTTCTCCCACTAGGCCCCAATTTCTAAGCCTTGATGGGAAGACAAGCAGGGAGATGGAACGAGCGCTCACAGATGGATACATTGTGGCATATGCCGCCTGTCACTTCCTTCACACATAGTTGTGATTATTTGATTAATCTCAGCCTCTCGATTAGACTGCGAGCTCCACTCAAGCAGGATCCAGCTGGGATCCACTCCAGGCCGTGACCCAGCACAATTCCTGGCACATACAAGGTGGTTGTAAATATTTGTGGAATAAGTGAATGAGTGAATAAATAAATCCATGGCGGGGAACACTGGGTAACTATTCTATGAGACAAGATACATGCCTATGATCTGACATGAAGATGTCCAGGGTATATCCATGAGGGAAAAAAAAAAAAAAAGAGTCTGGGAATCCCATAAAGAGCATAACTCCACATTAATTTTTTTTAAATGGTGCATTTTGTGGGGTGCAATTTTGGTCATCTCGACTGCAGACACCAGGCCAGTTCTTAGAGGGAGGTCTCTGTCTTGCCCAGCATGGTCCGAAAGAACACTCCGCAATGATGGGCATGGCCCTTCTGCGCTGCCCAACATGGCGGCCGCCAGCCACACCAAAACGTGACCAGTAAGCCCAAGGGCAGAACTTTAAATTTTAATTAATTTAAATTTAAATAGTCTTGGACAGCGAAGGTCTGAGGAAAACGAGAGAGATCAAAGCCTGTGGCTGGAAGCTGGGTCGTGCAGAAGGCAAAGGAGTTTTGGAGCTGTTTGCCTATCTGTGGGTATAAATGCCTCCGGGACCCCAAATCTTCAGTCAAGCCCTGTCCACACTCTCACACCGGAGCACACAAATGCCTTGTTGCATTTCTGCAACATGACTGGCTGCAGAGAAATGAGGGAAAAGGACAGAATTAGTCCACGGACCCCAAACGGGGAGACAGCAGATTCCCCACACTGAATGGACTCCAGCCGAAGCAAAAACTTGGGGGTGGGGCAAAGAATTTGAGGCTCTGGAGAAGGAGCAGAAACTCCTCCAGAAACTGGGAGACCAGTCACCATCCCATGGTTGGAGAATGGGGTTTGAATTAATTTTATATGGCTCCTAACAGGCAGGGAGATCCCAGCTGACATCTGGAAACATATATATATATATATATATAGAGAGAGAGAGAGAGAGAGAGAGAGGCAAGAAAAATATCACAACCAGCTGCGGGCACCGCTGCCTTGTAGGCAAACTATAATATTATTCTCTCTAGGTTTCTCTTTGTTTAGGAAAATGCCCTTGGGAGCAAAAGGTGAATTGCTTCCCTGGTTTAAGTGGAAAGAGCTGGGCGTTTCCAGAGTCAGGCTGAAGAGGAGGGATGGGAGGGGCTGAGAGCTAGGATAAAACGGAAGGAGGGTGGGCGCCTGGGTGGCTCAGTGGTTTAAGCGACTGCCTTCGGCTCAGGTCATGATCCTGGAGTCCCAGGATCGAGTCCCGCATCGGGCTCCCTGCTCTCCCTTCCCCTACCCCCTACTCCCTATCCCCTGCCACTGTCACTAAACCTCTACCGAGACTCAGCCACATTCCACAGCCTTTGTTTAGGCTTAGGTTTGGGAAAAATTAAAAGTCCTTGCATCTCTCTTTGCTTTCCTGTTTATTCCTGCCCTGTCGCCACAGGGATCTTAACGTGTAGTCAGCTTCCGGTTCCTCCTCAGCTCACTCCCCCCCCCCCCCCCCCCCCCCCCCCCCCCCCCGGCTCCCCACTTCACTCAGTAACTGGAGTTACTTCGCATTACAAGGCCCTACAGCACCGAACAGCCCTGGATCCCTCCTACCCCCCTGCCCGCATCTCCCACCCATGACTTCCTTGCTCACCCTGCTCCAGCCACCTTGGCCTTCATGCGCAGTTCCTGGATGGCTCCAGCACCCTCCTGCCTCAGGACCTTTGCACTGGCTGTTCCCTCTGCTGGAACATTCCTCCAGATAGCTGCCTGGCTCTGTCCCTCACTTCCTTCAAGTGTCTGCTTAAAAGACACCTTCCTGAGCAACTTAGTTAATACTGCAACCCATGGCCTTGCCCCCAGGCCTCCCAAACTCACTCACCCGGCTGTATTTTTGTCCACAGCACGTATCCCCTTGTAACTATAATGTGTTCTTGGTTATTAAGTTTATGGTCCCTCTCCTCCCACTGGAATTTAAATTCCATGAGGGAACAGGTCTTGTCTGTCTGGTTCACTGCTGTATCCACGGGGTCTAGAATAGCACCTGACATATGACAGGTGTTTCATAAAGTATAGCTCAATGAATGAATTCAGGCTGCTTCAAGATGGGCATTCTCTGGGCCAGGCATGGAGCTGGGAGGCAAGACTTCATTAATATGGAAGAGATGCCAAGAGGTTTTTCTCCATGGGAAAAGCAAGATGAGAACAGTGTGTGCTTTCAGTAAGGAATGCATAAAGAGGTGTGTATGCACACATAGTTTAGGTGATCAGAGAGAAATTAAAAAAAAAATAATGCTTACTTTATGGAAAGGCGACTTGAGGTTTCCTTTTTTGCCCTTTCTGTGTGAGTGAGAAATTGAACATCCCTCACCAAATGGGCTTCCAGAACTGGCTGGGAGGAGAAGCCGTGTTTCTGTATTTCTTTTTAAGAGATGTATTTCCTTTCTCTTCCTGTGAGCTTGTTTGCCCTCTGTGGTAGGATGAGACCACATTTGGTGTGTGAGCCAGACAACACCATGTGAGGTTGCCAATTCCCTCCTACCCCTCTCTGTAAGGATGGAATTTTCTGGTGCTGTCCATGGTGGTAACCACTAGCCACATAGAGCTATTTGAATTTGAATTTTTAATTAAAATTTAAAAGTTCAAAAAAATTTAAAAATTCAGTTCCTTAGTCACACCAACCACATGTCAAATGACCAGGAACTGCTTGGCTACCACATGGGACTGCACAGATCTAGAACATTTCTCTCACTGCAGAGAGGGCTATTGGAGACCGATGCTCTAGGAACACACATGTGTCCGTCTCCCAGACTGGAATGGAAGGTCCAAGAGAGCAAGGACTTCGATTTGTTCACTGCCATACCCTCCGTGCCTAGCCCAGTGCCTGGTGCAAGGAAATCTTAATAAATACTTATTGGATGGATGGATGAATGAATGAGTTCTTTTTTTTAAGTTTCTTTTATTTATTTAAGTAATCTACACCCAACTTGGGACTTGAACTCACGACCCCGAGATCAAGAGTCACATGCTCTCCCCACTGAGCCAGCCAGGTGCCCCTGAATGAATGTCTTTTAATTTCACATCATTAAGGGTTATTGTGTCAGGGAGATCATGATTCAGTGTTTGTTTTCCTTGTTCCTCACTATATTAAAAACATTACATATATAATATGCATATGACATATACACAAGCATACATATGTATTACATATACATGTGTACGACTAAGATAAAAGACAGAAAAATACTGACATTGGGCATTCCACAACAAAAATGGTCCAGGGGCGCCTGGGTGGCTCAGTCATTAAGCGTCTGCCTTCGGCTCCGGTCATGATCCCGGGGTCCTGGGATCGAGCCCCGCATCGGGCTCCCTGCTCCGCGGGAAGCCTGCTTCTCCCTCTCCCGCTCCCCCTGCTTGTGTTCCCTCTCTTGCTGTCTCTCTCTGTCAAATAAATAAGATCTTCAAAAATGGTCCAGACAGATCATCTACTGTGAAGTTCATTCAACAACCCTGCTCATGTAATCACAGGCCCACCACTTCTAGAGTTTTGGACTTCCACTCCCAAATATGTAGAGACCACTGAGGATTACTAAACATCAGTAAAGTCTCAATAAGAAAGATAGAAACAAAAGCAACAAATGGGGTGGGGGGGGACTTGGAGGAAACAGATTATGCGGAGAGGAAAAAATGCAAAAAACCCAACAACTACCAATATCACCAGAGAAACAAGACAAGATATTCAACTTTGAATAGCATATCATAAAACATAGGATACCATCAAATAATACTATAAAAATTAAAAGATCAGAAAGAGTTCTTAGCAGGGCGCCTGGCTGGCTCAGGTGGAAGAACATGTGACTCTTGATCTTGGGGTTGTGAGTTTGAGTCCCATGTTGGGTAAAGATTACTAAAAAAATAAATAAATAAACTTTAAAAAAGAGTTCTTAGAAGTTGAAAATATACTAGCAAGAATGAAAAGCTTAATAAAAGAGTGGAAGATAAGGTTAAGAAAAACTCTCAGGAAGTAGGACAGAAAGATGAAGAGATAGAAAAATAAGAGAGGATAAAAGAGTTCAGGAAGCCCAATATCAAATTAATAAGAGTTCCAGAAAGAAAGGATAAGAGTTCCAGAGAGAAATGGAGGGAAGGGGGAGATCATAATTGAAAGAAATCAAGGAGGCTTCCCAGAATGAATGCCATGAGGATACAACTGAAAGATCCAGTAATGAAAATAAATGAAGATGTTGCCAAGAAATGTCAGCACACTGAGGACAGGGAAAAGAAAAACG